AGAATACCTCTCAATCGGCTTGAGAACTTGGTCTTAATGGAACAGTGTTAAACTGGTTCTCTACATATTTACCTGGAAGACAAGATTTTTTTAAGCATAGGTGAACATATCTCAGATAAGCATGACATTCTCTGTGGTGTACCACAAGGCTCTGTACTAGGTCCACTTCTGTTTTCGTTGTATGGGTCAGATTATTAGGAAGTAGGGCATCAATTTTCATAGTTATGCAGATGATACCCAGCTGTATATATCTGTGGCTCCAGACAGTGTTAGTTCAGTAGAGTAGCTCACTATATGTCGGTCCAACACAGTCAGCTGGATGAACAGCTATTTTCTAAAGCTAAATGAAGAAAAGACAGAAATAATTATAATTGGTAGTGAAGCAAAGAGAAAGACGGTGAATGAAAGACGTGGAAATCTGGCTCTAAAACTAAAGAGCCTCTAAAATAAAAACTGAAGTTAGGAATCTTGGTGTAACTCTAGACTCTGATTTAACTTTTAAAGCACAAATTAATAATATTACCAAAAGTGCTTTTTATCATTTAAGGAATAAAGCACGAGTTCGACCTGATCTCAGTCTGCAGGATGCTCAGAAATCTGCTTTAGCAGGTTCATATCAGAGCAGTTTTAGCTTCACTGCACTGGTGCCTGTCTTTTTTAGTGTCCACTATACACGTCTCTGAGTGCTGATAGATGATGTTCCTAATCCGTCTTTAAGATCGTCCAGTGCTGCTTCTCCATATTCTACACAGGAGGCTTAAACAGAGCGGAGAGGCAGCGTTTTGTTTTTGTGCACCAAAGATCTGGAACACATTACCGATAAACATCCGTCAGACTGCATCTGTCAGTGATTTTAAAAAACAGACAAAAACATTTTCCTTTATTTAGTGTTGAATGAGGTTTTATTGGTTCCTTTGTTTTTACTGGAATATTACTGTAATATTACTGTTACTTTCTTTAGTTGCATTTTATTATTTTTATTTGTACTTTTATCCCGTGCTTTTTAATTGTAATTATTATTAATATATCCCCTTTTCTGCAATTTATAATTTTTTTATTTTATTTTTTCTTCTTTTTTTTCTTCTTCCTCTCTTGTTTTTACTTTGTATTGTGAAGCACTTGTTGTTGTTATTATTATTATTATTATTATTATTATCAATCTGGAGAACAATTTCACCATGCAAAGAACCATTGAAGCATTAAACGGTCCTATGTAGAACGCATGGTTCAAAAAAGAACCGTTGCCTTTACTAAAGAACCCTTGAAGAACCACGTGATAAGAGTGTATACTGTCCCACTCTCTCGTGTACTGTACTGTATCTATTTACAGTATTTAAAATCTCTCTAATATAAACACAGTCAGCATGTTTACTGTCTGTCCTCCGTGCAGACAGCAGCGTTAGTCTGTTGGTCAGTTTCGTAACGGTCACTGCTCTGGTTTCAGTGTGACGCTCAGTACAGCGTGTAGAGGAGGTTCCTCTCGGCTCAGTGACGCGCCCCTCTGTTTGTGGTACACTGAGCGCAGCTCCTTTAAATTGGATTGAGTTAATCTCCAAACAGCCGCAGCGGCAACACAACATCAGCGATTAACCCAATTTCACACCTCACACAGGGAGAACACTGCAGAGAACCGGACTCACCGTCACTGAGCTAAAGCACCTGAACAGCTCTGTATCATAGCTGAGCTCATCAGTACAGTAGAACTTAATATCAGTGTAGGAAATAAACAGGAGTTCATCATCTGTCCAACAAAGTCAACATCCACTGGATTCAGTAAACAAACAACAACAATAAACAACGGCAAGATAATGTCAACAAAACAGAAAGACATTCAAAATGTACAGAAATTCAAAGTAATGACGTGTTGAACATGGCAACATGTAGCAGCAGCAACAGTGAATCAGTGCTTCATCTGAGGATGGAAAAAGTGGAAAATTCAGCAAATATAGCAAAAAGATGGTCATTCAAGGGTTCTTTAGTGAAGACATTGGACCTCATTCACAAAATGTTCTTAAGACGAAATTCCTTCTTAAACCCACTTACGCAGTTCTGATGAAGACCGTCATTAAACCGATGTTCTCTTATTTGGGATTTGTTCTTAGGTAAGAACAGAACCTACACACATTCAAGCCAAGTGTATTTATAGAGCACCTCTCAGACACAGCGGTCACTCACAGAGTCTCACACAGGAGAAAATACACAGATAATTCACACTGGAATTTATAAAGTAACAAAGAGGACAGAAATTAAAACGTGATCAAAACGATTTATTATACAAGAAAAAATCATTAAAGTAAAAATCCCTTTAAAATTGAATTAGGATCGTTTACAGAGCACGAAGATGAGAACAGCTCTGGCGTAGACTTTCTCTTAGAACCTTTCTCAAGAGCACATTTAAGAACAAACTTAAGAACATGTTGGTGCATGAGGCCTAATTGTTCTACATAGAACCATGAATGCTCAAAGAACCATTTATATGCTTAAATGGTTCTCTGCATGGTGAAATGGTTCTTCAGACTGATGGAGAATGCGTCATATATGGTTCCATATAGCACCAAACAGGGTTCTGCTATTGTATACAAGCTTGACATTGTAAGTATAGTAGACCCATTTTCAAAAAGGTGCTATATAGAAGCATCTACAGGCATGCAAGTGGTTCTTCTATATAGAATCATTGTCCTTAGGAAAGAACCCTTGAAGAACCGTCTTTTTTAAGAGTGCAGTGCTGTGGTATAGTCTGTACACCCCTGTGACACTGAAATAAATATGCTGTCAGTAAGTTACAAAATGTAAACAGAATATTTCATAATATATATTGAATATATTCCTTTGTTATACAGACAGACTGAAAGAGGCAGTGAAATGCTGGATTAACGCTGTATCAGAGGCCTCAAGGCTGTGAGCTCCGCTCTGTCTTACCTGTGTTTTCGGGTGGTTTGCCGGCCGCAGACCCCATTCCCCATCAGACAGTGTGTGCGTCCATGACAAAGGCATCGAGCTGCTGTTTGACACTCAAATTAAATGAGCCACACCGTCTCTCCTTCACACCCCCTCCAACCCTCTCTGCCTGTCTGAGCCCTGGGGCTCTAATCCCTGGGATAACCCATTCAGGCTCAGATTTGGAAACTGGGCTGCCAGGAAGCTGATTTTCACTCTGACGTCACAGCAAGTAGCTATAAAGATGAGGCCAACATTTAATTTGAGATACAAGAGACTCCTAATGAGAACTGTGCTGGAATGAATCAGTAATCTGATCAGACATAAACATATATGTACATATATAATGTGTACATGTGTGTAAGTATCAAATAATGAATAAATAATATGAAACGAATATATGGATCATATATACATGTCTGATAGGTGGGTGGATGTGTCAGGTTCATTTATCTTACATAATACACAGATCATAACGTTCTGACCACCTCCTTGTTTCTACACTCATTGTCCATTTTATCAGCTCCACTTACTATATAGGTGCACTTTGTAGTTCTACAGTTACAGACTGTAGTCCATCTGTTTCTCTGATACTTTGTTAGCCCCCTTTTACCCTGTTCTTCAGTGGTCAGGACCCCCATGGACCTTCACAGAGCAGGTACTATCTGGGTGGTGGATCATTCTCAGCACTGCAGTAACACTGACGTGGTGGTGGTGTGTTAGTGAGTGTTGCGCTGGTCTGAGTGGATCAGACACAGCAGTGCTGCTGGAGTTTTTAAACACTGTGTCCACTCACTGTCCACTCTATTAGACACTCCTACCTTGTCGGTCCACCTTGTAGATGTAAAGTCAGAGACGATAGCTCATCTCCTGCTGCACAGTTTGTGTTGGTCATCCTCTAGTCCTTCATCAGTGGTCACAGGACGCTGCCCACAGGACACTGTTGGCTGGATATTTTTGGTTGGTGGACTATTCTCAGTCCAGCACTGACACTGAGGTGTTTAAAACTCCAGCAGCACTGCTGTGTCTGATCCACTCAGACCAGTGCAACACACACTAACACACCACCACGTCAGTGTCACTGCAGTGCTGAGAATGATCCACCACCCAGATAGTACCTGCTCTGTGAGGGTCCATGGGGGTCCTGACCACTGAAGAACAGGGTAAAAGGGGGCTAACAAAGTATCAGAGAAACAGATGGACTACAGTCTGTAACTGTAGAACTACAAAGTGAAACTATATGGTCAGTGGAGCTGATAAAATGGATCTGTGTATATCTACATATTAAATTATTTAAATTTGTCAAGGAAAATATTTTTACTTATTCCATGTTTAAATAATTCTATTGTGTTATGTTTTAGAGTTCAGTTATGTAACTGTTATACTCATTTTCACCTCATTCGGAAGTTTGCGGAATACACAGAGAAGATGCACAAAAATCTTATATTACATGAAGCATATAAAAGTAATAAATGGCATCCATGTTTTTCTTACATACTGTTAAATGGATGTGTTGCACATTTATGTTTGTATCGATATATGGCTGAAATATATGTCTCATATAAGTTGGCATATTTGTCACATATATGTCCTCATGTGACAAATATAAGTTAGAGGTAAGGGAAATCCATATACGGTAAAGAATAGACATGTTTGAAATTCATAAACTGCATTGATCAGATTTCTGTGTAGGCCTGCTGCTGATTAGCTCCACGCTAACACGCTGGCGAGCGATCGTAGTGACTGGGGACGGGCAGGACTGCTGACGAACACATCTGAAATATGTATTTGAGTCCTAAAGACTAACTACTCCGTATTATTTGGTGTTTGATGTTGTTGGAAACACAACAACAAACAAAACCGTTGATCTGTAATTTGTATGAAAACACTTTGATCATTTAACGGCTTCTGTATTTTTTAAATGGTCGAAAATGTGTTCCCCTAAATGGTCTCGCGACACAGACGCACATTTTTAATTAAATTAAATAATTAATTACTAATTATTGCTGATCCAACACGTAAGGGGAGCGGCGCCGGTGTGTGAGGTCACGTGTCACGTGCTCGCGTCAGCAGCGCTGAATGCGGAAGTGCAAAGAGGCGGCGGAGAAACAGCAAACAGACAGACAGACAGACAGACAGACAGACAGACAGACAGTTTAATAACTGAAATAACTGTAATAACAGCGCGGATATGGACGGTAAGAACAGACGGGCCTTATTTATAAAGCTGTGTGTTTAAATGCGAGCGGAGCTTTATTATGCTAACGCTAATGCTAACAGGCTACAGCTAACAGCTCAGTAAACAACAACAATAAACAACAACAAATAAACAACAACAAATAAACAACTACCGGACCAGTAAACGGACCAGTGTCCGCGGTCTGTGCAGCGCTGGTGTGTGCAGCGAGCAGTGCTGGGTCTTCGGCTCTCTTGTTACTCTGTGATCAGAACCCGCGGTGGTTCTGCTAAGCGGCTCAGATAAACAGCAGATCCGCATTTCTGTGTTTATGGCCGTGTTTGTGTTCCGGACCTGCGGGCGGGTATATAAGTGTTTATTTACTAACTGGTCTTCACGATTTAATCAGTCTGCGAATGTCTGGCTCTGTAAAGGCTGTAGCTGGGTGTCAGCACCACCCAGCACCCCCAGCCTGACTGCAGACGTGCTTTACTGAGAACCAGACCGAATCTGGGCCTCGTTAGATCTCAGATAAGTTATGTGTTATTTCTGACTGATATGTCTCATGAGCTGCAGGTCACTGTTCCTCCTCAGTGGTGCTGGTTTCATCATCTGTATCTGTTTCTCTCCTCAGACACGCTCTTCCAGCTGAAGGTGCGTATGGACCCGGAGGACCTAGCTATGTTCCGGGATGTTGGTTCTATACGTGTTTGACCAGCTTTATATTTGTTGCAGTCTTATGCTGTTCTTTGTTCAGTAGTCACCGTTTTATGAACGTAGAAACATAGAAAATCACTACATATTGTGTTCTGTAGTTCTCTGAGGTGTTTAACTTGTCTGTTCTCTCTTTTTCCTCAGTTCACTGCAAAGCAGCTGGAAAGACTGGCTAAGAAAGCAGAAAAGGACTCGAAGGCAGAGCAGGCTAAGGTTAAAAAGGTGAGCCGTGGGAACTGAGGGGCTCCAACGTTCACAAATCTGTTTATTCTCACATTAAAGTCACGAATACTCGTCTAAGCAAAGTGATCAGGACAGATGCAAACATTTTAAAGAGCTAAACTCAGGCGTTTCCAAAAGTGATGGTGGCCAAATTGGCCCTTTCAAAGAGTGATGGGGGCAAAATGAACCATTTTAAAAAGTGGTAGAGACAAAATTGTCCATTTCAGAGAGTGCTGGGGCAAAATTAGCCATTTTAAAAAGGGCTGGGGCAAAATTGGCCATTTCAGAGTGTGGTGGGGGCAGAATTGGCCACAGCAAAGAGTAGTGGTGGCAAAATTAGCCATTTTATAAAGTGATGGGGGCAAAATTGTCCATTTCAAAAAGTGGTTGGGGTAAAATTAGCCATTTTAAAAAGTGGTTGGGGCAAAATTGGTCATTTAAAAGAGTGACGGGGCAAAATTGTTTGTGGTGAGGGCAAAGTAGGGTTTTATTTTGGAATAGGCACAGGAGAGTTGTATTGGCTCTGCTGAATATGATGACATACTGCCCCCTTGTGGTGAGAGACAGAACAGACGGAGTAAACTCTCGTGTACTGCGGTGATTATCAGTCTCAGAAGACAAAAACTCTGTAATACTGAGCTGCTCAGGTTATGAATTATCAGCACTTTCTTCCACTTTAGAAAAAGCCAATAATCCCCCTTCATGGAATCAGTCAGTAAGTGTGGCTTTAGCTATTCAGTCTGTTTACAGCTGATAAGAGAACTCGATTAAGGATGTTTCACATCTGAGTGTAAACAGGGGTTTTTCCTCTCACACCCTTTCCAGATCACACTCCTGCAGTGACTCAGAGTGTGTGTCACTCAAAATCTCTCCTCTGATTGGAGGATGAGGATGTAAAAGTCATGTGAGGAAGGCCAGTGACTCAGGTCCACTGTGGGGCAGTGCAGTCTGCTGACCAGCAGGGGGCAGACCGGCCCTGTCTGAGTGGGAAGAGTTATTTCTCTCAGATAAAGCACACTGTGTACCAGCTACACTGACTGACATGAGGAAAAACGTCACTAAAGTAAAAGTTCCTTTCCAAACAACAACTTAAACTACTTAAGTACTGAGTAACTTAAAGTACTGCAGTGAAACCCCTTAGAACTTCCAGCCTCTATTGATGTAAAAACCACAAGACTGAAATTGTCTTCTTATTCGAATCATCAGTTCCACCTTAAACGGTGCAGCTGTTATATTCTGGTGTGATCTGTAAAGCTGTTTATGTGGGCAGTAAAGGTTAATTTGTTAAAAACATCAAACATTAGAATAAATACAAATAAACATATGAACAGTCCACTGAGATGGTTCTGTGAGTGAGAGTATTTACAGTGACCATCCAGTACCTGGTGTATCTAATCAATCCTTCATTAAATTAAATCAGCAGATGTTACTGATCAAACCCATGTGATGCTGGAGAGCAGCGAGAAGAACCAAGCCTGTGTTCGTCTAACCTGCATATTCATAACTACTGAAAACAGTCTAATCACTGCCTACTGTATTTATGTTTATTTGTATTTATTCTAATATTATGTAGAGCTTTTACTGCCAAACACACACACTTACTGCCCAGATAAACAGATTTGTAACCATTTTTATGACTGGCTAAGACTTTTACACAGTATATCAAACACCTGATTCAACACTGAACTGAATGGCGCTGGACTGGAGTTTGATTTGAAGGAATTCTTTGGCTAAAAAGTGAACAAAAGTACAGAAATCCAGTCTCCTAGGCTTCTGCTGAGTTTAGCTGTTCTAATTAGTCCATGTTCAGAGATAACAGTGTGTCGTACCGTGTCAGGAATCACATAATCGAGTGTGTTTAATGCTGTAATGACTGTGTGTGATTTCAGGCTCTGCAGCAGAAGAATGTGGACTGTGCACGTGTGTACGCAGAAAACGCCATCCGTAAGAAGAACGAAGGCATAAACTGGCTCCGCATGGCGTCCCGCGTCGACGCCGTGGCCTCTAAAGTCCAGACCGCCGTCACCATGAAAGGGGTCAGTCTGTGTCCTCTCTCCTGATGCAGTTCCTACACCACCAATCCCAATCCTAATCCTTTAAATACTGAGAATATGATATATGAGACACATGCAAGGTGTGCAGCTGAAGTGCGGTGTAGCAGCCACAGTCGATCAGGATCAATAGATCACTACAAAGCCTATTTATTAAAAGAAACTTATTAAATTTATTACAGAAACACCTGATCTCAATAATTTGAGATATTCACAGTTCTGCTTCAGAGCTCTAACTGCAGTTATTTTCCACAGTCATTAGATTTCACAGTCATGTTGTATTGCAGTGAGCATAATGTAAGCGTGTCATATTTACATTAGTTGGCTTGAGACAAAGGCTACGTTCACGTTACAAGCCTCGCTGCTCAAATCCGTATGCTCTCTGACAGGATGGTTCACACTCATTTAGGTAAGTCATTCAAATCTGTCATTAATGTGATGAACCGGCGTCCTGAAATGACCCTCATGAGCACATCCTCCTCAGTAACGTCACGTGAACGAATCACGATCATCATCAGCACAAACTAACGAGCAGAACGAGCTTCGCTGAGAAGATCATTAACTCTGATCAGCTCTCAGCTTCATTATTAGAGCGAGACGAAGGAGAAAAAGGTGAGATGAGCTGCTTTTCCACCGTTTACAGGCTTTAACTTCTGTTCGGCGCTGTTGCCATGGTAACGCTGAATGATGCGCACGAGCAGTGGAAAAAAAGCACATGAATTCCGATCTGAGCGTCACATTAAGGTCACATGGCCACGAATCAGATACGTATCCGATCTAGGACCACATATGAAAGTGGCTCAGGTCGGATTTGAAAAGATCAGATTTGCGTCCACACAGCTCTGAAAACAGCAGATCTGAGTCACATTAGGGCAGAAGATCAGATTTGTTCCACTCAGCCTGGTAATGTGAACGCAGCCAAATAAACGGTAATTAAAGAATCACTTCTAGAGCTTTTCTAGTTCTAACTTTGACCTGTGTGTCAAAGCGTTTAGGGGAATGAATCTTTATTAATTTAACAGCTAGAATCATCTTTTATTCGCTGCACAATAAAGAGCTGGCTAGAGAGCCAACAAGCCAATTTAGCTGCTTTAGATTTGTTCTTAAAAGCGTTAATCACAATTAGATATGTAACTGTTAATTGTCCACTAGGGCTGCATGATCCTGACACGTCTGGTCACACTATCCTCTACTTCGGTTCCGTTGGCAAGATAGTCCTAATTGTCTGAACAGTAACAGCGCAAATACAGTCACACTTACATTACATAACTATGTACACCAGCGAGTGCTGCGCACTGAGTGGTACCAAAGATAAAAACACTGGTCTGGTTGGTGACAGTGGGGTGACTTGTGTGCAGCTGCGGTTAGTCGACAAGCTAACCTACACTTTTAATGTAGGCTCTTCAAGGGTTCTTTAGTAAAGATAATGGTTCTGTATAGAACCATAAGCACAGATTGATGGAGTATGTGTTGCATCTGGTTGTATTTAGCACCAAAAAGGTTCTGCTATTGTTACAATGTTAAGTTTGTAATGATAACAGAACCCTTTTTGGTACTATACAGAACCATTTTCAAAAGGTTTATACCTAAAACCAAATACAACAGATTCTGCATCAATCTGGAGAACTGTTTTAACATGCAGAGAACCGTTTAAGCAAATGATTCTTTGGGTGTTCATGGTTCTGTATAGAACCACTGTGTTTAGTAAAGAACTTGAAGTATGGTAGCAGTTAGCAAGCTGGCTAACTCGCCTACCACAAAGAGTAGAAACAAAGTGGTGTTGGTTCTAATCTGATACAGTCATGTGAATCAGAGTCTCTCCTTTTTGTGTTTGTTTACAGTCAGAGGGGAAGAAACGTGTAAAGGTTTCTGCTTAAACTGATAAAATTAACATTTTGGCTGTTCAGTGCTCTGAAGCTCCGCCCCTTTGGAGATCAGAAGCAGCACTGAAAGTCTGTAAGGCTGTTTGTTGGTTTTAAAATGGAAACATTACTCACCCCAGAAGTCTGTGCTGAGAAACTGCTCTTTACAGTGACTCTCAGTAAATGAATGCAGTTTTATTTAGGAAATAAATTTCACGACTTTGTCAAAACTTTTAGTTTTGACTAATTAATTTAGTTCAGTGAAACACTGGGAAGATGAAACACAATGACCTGAATGAAATAACAGCTACAATTACCATCAAAAAAGAAAGTAAAAGACAGTTACTTTAAAATACTGCGGTCATTTAATGGGTGATTTTCTCTCCTCTGTTATTTACATGTTCACTCCATGCTGACCAGCTCTTCTCTGTTTGTTAATAAGGTGACGAAGAACATGACCCAGGTGACTAAAGCTCTGGATAAAGCTCTGAACTCTATGGACCTGCAGAAGGTCTCGGCCGTCATGGACAAGTTTGAGAGTCAGGTTCAGAATCTGGACGTCCACACTTCGGTAAGTGGTGCTGTAGAGCGGAGACGCGGCTCCGAAATGACCACTCGCATCCGTAGTTAAAGAGCCCATATCCTATTTTCAGTTCTCCACTTAGGTCCACCTGCAGAGTTATATACCAAAATCAGTCGTCATTCCTTTCTGCATGATCATTTTCCATTTATTCTCTTTATCCCTCACAATTAAACAGGCTGTTTATGTTACTGTATTAAGACTGATTTACATAAATGAGTTCTGTTCTGTTTGGCTGTCCTGTATCGCCCCCTACACTTCCTGTAGTGTATTACAGTCTGTCAGAATGACTGTGTGGATCATATGAACATTATAGAGCTTTTTAAATGAAACAGTAGAAGCCATATCGCCCCCTACACTTCCTGTAGTGTATTACAGTCTGTCAGAGTGACTGTGAGGGTCATATGTTTATGCATTAAAGGGCACTTTAGTTTGGGACTAAATGACATGAAGACAATAAAACGATACGTTGCCATTTTTCCATAATCTAATCTGAATACTAATCAGCTTTATGGACGAATCGTCACAGCCCTGATCTGTAGACCGTAACAATGTCCTCTTCTAAACTCCGCCCCTTTATGTGTGCCGTAGGTGATGGAGGATTCGATGAGTTCGGCCACCACGCTGACGACGCCGCAGGAGCAGGTGGATGATCTGATCCTGCAGATAGCGGAGGAGAGCGGGCTGGAGGTGATGGACCAGCTGAACCAGCTGCCCGCTGGAGCCGCCTCGCTGGGGGAGACGTCCACACGCTCGCAGGAGAAAGAGGACCAGCTCTCACGCAGGTACAGCGCCACCCGCCGGATTAATGATTAAAGCGATAAACCGAATCCACCCCTCACTCCAAAAGACCAGTTTGGTGTCTGAAGTTTGCTTCTTTAGTTTTAGCACTGCGGCTATGGGGCTAATGTAGCAAGTAATAACAAGTTATGCAAGCTTATAGCCCATCCAATTAGCATGGTGCTAACTGCATGTCTAAATCATTAAGGAACAAAAGTATAGACAAAATTCAGGCTTCAGGCTCCTAATCTGTTTTCAGTGGTGTGTGTGCTCGTTTATAGGAGGACTGTCTGAATCTTTGAATAGTCATAAAAAATCAAATAGTAAATTAGGTTTTTATATATGTAAATTAGCTCTCTTTAATGTTACGAGAACTCTGTACTCCAGCGAAGGTCTGTGCAGAACCTGCGTCTGAGTCTTGTCTCTGTTCAATAAGAAGGAGCCATAGAAAGACTACTGCAGCCGCCTGAAGACGAGAAGCTGAGATACAGTGGATCAGTTTTTCTCCAAGTACTGACGATATGCACAGTATGCTCAGAAGGGTATATTCTGAATCATGAGAACAATAAAATATCAAATAAATAAATATATATATACTGAAGCTTATTTTACAGAAAATGATCACAGTTTGAATCACAGTTGCGTTATGAGTCAGAAAAACACAATGACATATTTTCCCCAAATAGTTCAGCTCTGCTCTTCACAATCACACTGATGTTCTGAGCTGAAATATGATGTGACTAGGCTAAAATCACTCTGTGAGGTGAAACCAGATGAGGATTTGTCTGTTTATCTTAAAGACTTCAAATCGGGCGTCTTTATCTGAGAAAACTTTAGGCCGTGCATGACCTGCTACAGACTGGCGGTTCTGGTTCTGGTCTGGTTTAGGGCTTCATGCAGTGTCAGAATCCACAGAATCCATATAATGATGTAGAAGAGCTCAGTAAGCAGCTCCACACAGTTCTGAGGCAAGTGTGGGATGATTGATGGGGTTTGAGTTTGCTTGTTAGCTACATTAGCTTCATAGCTCCACAGGGCGTAAAGCAATGTGCCTGAAATGTGTTTGTGGGTTGGGAGACAGAATGGAGGGAAGGGGGGGTTCATGAAATAAAGAAATTAATTAAATGAATATGAACATGTTTATTAACAAAACTGAAATAAACAATAACAGAGAGTACACTAACAAGTGGGGCAGAACAAACAATGTCTGGTAATTATATCCAGGTCCAAGCACAACTTTCAAAGCCAAAAGTTCGCTTCTCCTTCAAATCGCTCATCGCTCGTTCCTCCGCTGGTCACTAAACAGCGTGTCGTCATACTGTCGTCAAATGATTGACAAATTAGCATAATATAGCTAACAAATAGCCGTTTGGGATTCAGACACATCCACACTCGACACAGCTCACTATTTAGGGAGTACGGAGCCGTTTGAGACTCAGTCTGGGTTTGAGGCTATTTAAGGTGGATCTGACTGAAACACGGACATTTGAGGCGTTTAAGACACTCAAGTGACATTTTTAGACTTCTATACTGCAGTTTTACAGTGAATCAGACTGTAAGTGCTTTAATTCAAGCTGTGATATTAATGATGGAGCTGTTTAGCATGTTGGCTCTTTTAACCTGTTAGCTAGCTGACCAGCCCAGTTCTAGATAAGAAAATAAGTCGTCAGCCCCTCAGTTTAAACAAAAACAGGTTCTTACTTCATCAGTACACTCGGTGCTCTATGTGAGCAGCATTAGAGTCACAGATTATTCATTAACAGTTCAAGCGTTCTTCATATTGTGGTGCAGAGATACAGAGTTCAGTTGTGAGGCGGTCAGTGTGGGTATACTGAGTATCCTAATACGGCTTTGAACGCAGCTCAGCCAATCAGGTTTTTGGATCAGAACTATCCGTTTTATAATGATCTATTGTTTAACCTAAAACGGCCTTATGCTGGAATTCCTGCGCAGTGCTGGAGAACTTTAAGCCGGTGCTAAAACTAAAGAAGAAAACGCCAGACCTGAACGTGTCGTCTGGCTCCGTTTGGGGTAAACAGAATTATGGCTCCAGTGTTCTTCCAGTGTTCTCCTCACTCGTGGTGCTGCCGTGCCAGGAGTGCTGTTTGTCTGACTCTGTGCTGTGTTTGTGTTCCAGACTGGCAGCTCTGCGGAACTGAGCGTGACTGCTGTGTTCTCAGGGAGCTGGAGAGTGACCTGCTGTTTCACGGCCAGGCTGGAGGGGGCGCTGCTCAGTCCAACTTCAGTCACTCTGGGGATCCGACACGGCCGATTGATTTATCCCCAAATCTATTTATACACAGATGCACTCTCACAGCTGCCAACAATGCTGCCCCCCCCACAGACACACACACACACACACACACACACACAAACACACACACACACACACAGAAACACACACACACACACACACACACACTTTCTGCTGAAAACAATCTGCCCCCTTTTTGGCTTTACATAGCTCTCTCTCTCTCTCTCTCTCTCTCTCTCTCTCTCTGTCTCTCTGTCTCTCTCTCTCTCTGTGTCTCTCTCTTTCTTTCAGTGTCTCTCAGCCTCAAGTGGCTTCCTCAGTCAGCTCTGATTATTTGGGTGAATATTAATCAGTTGAAGGACTGTTTTTATGTTTTCTGTGTGAAATGCTCGCCTGCTTTGGTTTAGACTACTGAAGCGACTGTAGGGGGGGGGGTTTCTCTCCGCGCTCTGATTGGCTGGTGGGTTCTGGTGTCTCCTCTGGGCTGTTCACGTCTGAGGGTCAGACTGTGACAGGAAGCAGCTGTACAGCTGTACCTACGACACGTTTTGATTAGTTTTTATTTTGAATCGACTCTGTGTGAATATTGTAAAGCCGTGTTAATAACACTAACAGATCGTACTGTACTGTTGCTGCCGTTCCGCCTCCACATGATACTCATACGGCATCCAGCTGTGCACGACGCGTCTTTCACTGAAAGCTCTGTGTTGACGTTAATAGACTCCACCACCTGTAAAGCCACCTTAAAGCGATAGTTCTCAAAGTTAAAGTCCCCCAGTTTCTCTCTAGTCAATCAGCCATCTTTAGTGTTAGCGCTGGAGCTACGAGGCTAATGTAGCTAACAAATAACAGAAGATTAAACTCCACCAATTAGCGTGGCGCTAACTGCATGGACAAAAGTACAAAGCGAACTCCAGCTTTAAGAGGCTGCTATTACTGCTCAGAGCTATACGACGTGCTTTTGATCGTTAGCCGCATGCTAATTGGTGGGTATAGGCTTCCATTACTTATTAGCTACGTTAGCTTCGTAGCTCCAGTGCTAAATCTAAAGAATGTCTCTGCTTAATAGCCACATTTGGGTAAAGGGGAAAACTGGGAAACTGGGATTTTTATGGCTGAACTGTCGCTTTAATTGGTGTTTGTGTTTTTTTGTTTTGCTTGTTTAAATTTGCTTTTCTGCCTTACTGCACCGCAGCTGCTGCGTAGGTGCTCTTCATACTCCTCCTCTTCTTCAGTGCCTCAGTCGGAGGCAGTGAGACGTTCGCGCCCGCAGAGAAACGCAGCTGTAGCGTCCAGTCTGCCACGCTGTTGCATCGTGGGTGATCTGGGCGCGCTGTTATCCGTTACGCTCGGCCGTGTGCAGCGTCTCGCTGTTCACTTCATGCTGTTGATTTGTTTTTTCTTCTGTTTGAAATGGGAAGGTTATTTATACTGGTGATCAACTGGCAGCGCTTTTCTTTTGTATATTTATCTTGTCAAAATAAAAGCCCTCTGATGAATAGTATTGTGGGTTTGTTGTCACTGGATACAGAAACACTAAATGAAAACATCATTGAAATAATCAGTTTGATGCTGTAAATGACAATGTAGAAATGTTAGATGTGTCCAGAATGATGATCAGAGCTGCAGGTGATTCTAGAATCACTAAGAAAAGTGAAGAATATCATGAAAGAAGTTCTTAAAAAATGTAAAAATATAAAGTTAGTAAATATAGTTTTGAATACAGTCCAAATATGGAAACTATACTGCAAAACCAGCCTTTTGAATTTGTTGTGGTGATGTCACGAAAAACAACATGCTTAGATATATTCAGTTGCATTGGGCAGTTTAGCCCCACCCATTCAGCCTACAGCAGTTTAGCCCCACCCATTCAGCCTACAGCAGTTTAGCCCCACCCATTCAGCCTACAGCAGTTTAGCCCCACCCATTCAGCCTACAGCAGTTTAGCCCCACCCATTCAGCTACAGCAGTTTAGCCCCACCCATTCAGCTACAGCAGTTTAGCCCCACCCATTCAGCTACAGCAGTTTAGCCCCACCCATTCAGCTACAGCAGTTTAGCCCCACCATTCAGCTACAGCAGTTTAGCTCCACCCATTCAGCTACAGCAGTTTAGCCCCACCATTCAGCTACAGCAGTTTAGCCCCACCATTCAGTCTACAGCAGTTTAGCCCCACCCATTCAGCTACAGCAGTTTAGCCCCACCATTCAGCCTACAGCAGTTTAGCTCCACCCATTAAGCCTACAGCAGGACAGCCAATCGGAACAGAGCTCATTTACATAGATCAGTCTTAAAGGTACGGTAACAGAAACAGGCTGTTTAGCTGTGAGGGATAAAGAGGCTGTAAATGATCATGCAGAAACGAACTGTTTTAATGAATTTGTTTTGGGTATATAAAACACAGATGTTATCAGTGGAGCTCAGTACAAGGACAGTGTGGGATGCAGGCCCTTTAACATGGTGCAGAACGAGAAAGACGACGTGCTGCTCTGTATGAAAATAAGCCAGGTGTCGCCGAGTCTGGCAGGCGGTGTGTTTACAGCTGTGTCAGTGAGCTTTAAGTATTGATGTCAGTTACAGCAGCTTTACTGGATTTCACAACAACACAGGCCGTCAGAGAGACACACCAAAACATGAAACCGGACACCGTCAGCGCTGTGTGGGGGTGAAAGTGCAGCTGTGTGAATTATTAATGCAGTGATTATGCTCAGGGTCAGAGATTACAGCAGGTACACACTCAGTCCTGTGTGAACATCCGCCCTGCGCTGAATGTGGAGAGTCTGCAGGCCCTGATTTCTCTCTTTGAAGCACGATGTCCATTAACAGGCGTCTGACACCCAGTTCGCAGGGTTTTAAAACAGATTTAAAGTGGAATGTGAGATCTTAGTATCTGTTCTCCTCAAAAATGGCCCTCGGGGTGATTCTAAAACGCTTCAGATACGAGATCTTCATAATAAAAGTCTGCTGGGCCTGGAACACCTCATCAATCTGAGGGTGACAATCCAACCGGACTGTTGATTGTAGGAAATTATAATAATATTTAATAAAGTGTACACTCTTCTTTTGGCTGAAATAAAATTCTCAGGCTGTTTTCAGATGTAAAACCATGTTGATCAATCAACTGAGCAATCAGTGAAATTCAGTGTGTTTAAATCATTCTGACGAGTCAAAATATTGTAAAATCAAATACTGGTGACGTCTGATGTTTCATGATTCAGTGAATCATTTCTAAAGAGTCATAAGTGAGATTTGAAGTCTGCTTATGTCATTAATCTATCGCCGTGTTCAGAGTGACTCATTCTTTAACTCCATCACTGTTCACTGCTCTGTGTTTACTGTAGTGAACTGACCACAGAGTGACCAGAACATTTAGTGTTGAGTGTCTGAGCGACACAACAGCACAGCTGGCACACTGTACAGAAAAACCATAGAAACCAGTAAGTGTGTCTGTTGGGTTCTGATGGCTCTGTAATGAGTTGTGTCTTTTTCAAGGATCCTAATGGTTTAAGAGGTGACCAGCAAACAAACAAGCAAATAAGTAAATAAATATACATATATATATATATATATACATATATATATATATATATATATATATACATATATACATAGTACTGTAGCACTGTTGCTTCACAGCAGGAAGGTCCTGGGTTGGATTCCCGACTGGGTCACCAGGGTCCTTTCTGTGTGGAGTTTGCGTGTTGTCCGTGTGGGTTTCCTCCCACACTCCAAAGACATGCAGGTAGGCTGATTGGACACACCAAATTGCCTCCTAGCAGGGAGTTCAGCCTTTTTTGTTGCAGTGCATGCTGGGGATTGTAGTGCAGCACATTGTGAATCAGGGGCCATATTACACAAACTTCCTACCTATCAGAGCATCGCCGCTCCCCAGTTTCAGTCTCCATTTCCCAAACGCTTTAGCCGAGCGCGCTAACGTTACTCCTCCTAATAAACAGACACACGTTCAGCTCCGTCTCCTCATTATTCACCACCATCACTGTAATATTTCATCATCAACATTAACACACGAAGGTGATCAGAGGGGCGGTGGAGATCGAGTCTGCAGCGTCTGAGATCTTTAAAACGCAGAGTTAGAAAAGAAAATCATCTCACAGTGAAAGCAGCGTTTTACAGTAGAGATAAATGGAGGTCATTATGCTGGTATTGAACTATGCTGCTGACTCAGCTGCCTAAAAACCATAGAAACGGACCTTAAACAGAAGTGAGGACCCTGTTGGGGTTCATCCTAAAGTTAGGACAGGATTTAGGAGGTTTAGTCTAGTTAGGATGTTTGTGTGAGGCTGTTTTCTTATCTGGAGTTCATGATGAGATTATGAAGTTAAGAACTGTTGTTCTGTGATTTGTTCTGTCCTAAATTCAGTCCTAACTAAAGTTGTGGTGGTGACTGAGCAGAGATAAGATTTCAGACTTAAGACGTTTCTGTAATGCAGGCCCAGGCTAACATTAATAGAGCATTAAAATCCTGTGATTGGACTGTGGACTGTGCCGGTCCAGTATAGGACTGTGCTGCGTGCCGATCTGGCCCACAGGCCTTGTGTTTGACAAGCTATAGACAAAACTCTGAATGTGTTTGGGTGTTTCTGCAAATACAGGCATTAATCTGTCCAGATTTTTAGGAAAACAGTCCATATGGATTTAATGCGAGTGGAGGTGAGGAGATGTTGTAGGGAAGACCGTTTGAGTTCAGATGTCCTGTTACATTAGGAAGATGACGTCTAACATATTTGAGTTGAATATGAATATGATTTTTAGGTCTGTATTGAACCACAATAGTTCTAAAGGCTGCATTAAGGATGAAAAGATGATGTTTACTTTGAATCCAGAGACTCCTGGATTAGACTTTCCACACTTTTGTCCACGGGCTGTGCCGTAATCAAAAGTTGGCCTGTCTTTTTTATGCATTCGAAGATTTTGAAATATTGTGTGGGACAATAAAAGTGTTATTTCTCTTCATAAATGATCTGAAAGTGTGTTTTGGCACTTTTTATGCTAAAATATTTATGTTGTTTATATTTTTATTCAGCAATATTGAATGGTTGGATGTGAGTTTGTCTGTATGTCTGAGTTATGTGCTGGACACTGTAGTAAACAGGCGGCGGTCACTGTGTTTACTCGTTTCTCTCACAGATTCAGTGTTCTCTCTCACGCAAGTCCCGCCCCTCCCGCGCTGGGATTGGCTCGTAGCTGGGACATGCGACGCCTGTGACGTTTTAACCGATAGCCAATCCTAGTGCAGGAGGGAGCGGCGCGCCAGCCAATCCCAGCGCGGGAAGAGGGCGGGGATTTCCTCCAAAAACGGGCGTGGAAAGAAAACCCACCGCACTTGTCCGCCGCTAGTGGCCGCTCCGCTTTCATTATTTACGGGCAGAAAGCGAAGCCGCGGCGGCGCTGAGAGCTACACGGAAACAAAACCATCTGCGAACGGATGAAACAGCGATGATCCGCCGAAACCTAAACTGAAACAACAAGAACCCCCTGAATTCGGGCCCTGTTTTGACTCGCATGGGGCTGGGAGACGGCTCGGATCCGCGGCACGATGCACACGGGCTGGGCCGGTTGATGGTGGAGCTTTGGGGTTGGAGCGGTGGGTGGAGGCCGGTGAAGCCGGGCTGGAGTCGAGCTGAGGCGAGGAGAAGCAGCGAGGCGGCCCGGGGGCTCCTCCACCTCCTCCTCCAACACCATGAGGCTGACAGTGTTGCTCTGCTGGCTGGTTGTGGGGGCTGCGGCGGAGAGCAGTGAGAACAGCACGACCCTCAGCAACAGGAGGTACTTGAACATTGGAGATGGGACTAATCTGGAGTTTGAGTTCCCTGAGAACACCAAGGGCGTGATCGTGATCTCCAGCGAGTACCGGAGCGCTGTGGGCAGGAAGGGCCGAGAGAGCTGGAGGCAGACGGTCAGGGTGCGCTCCCTGGAGCCAGAGGTGCTGTCCATCCTGAACGTCAGCGACAGCGGGCATTCAGGGCCCGTGAGGAGCTACATTATCAGCATCAGGTCAGGCATGGTGGGCCGGGCGCCTCTGCTCATCCAGCTGCTGGACCTGGACCAGAATTCGGAGCCGGTGCTGATCGAGGAGCGGACCGACTATGCTATCAGGGTGGCTCCCGGGGCCTTCGACCGCAGCCAGGCCGGAGGCCTCTCGCACTTTTCGGAGAACCCGATTCTCTTCGCCCTGCTGCCGCTAATCTTCGTCAACAAGTGCGCTTTCGGGTGTAAGGTGGAGGGGGAGGTGCTGCGGGGGCTGCTGAAAAGGCCCGTTCCTCTCTTCCTGGGGGTTTTGGGGCAGTTCCTCATCATGCCGCTCTACGGGTATGGCATGGCGCGCCTGGCGTTGCTGCCCAAGGCTCTGTCCCTGGGCCTGGTCATCACCTGCTCGGCCCCTGGCGGCGGCGGAGGTTACCTTTACAGCCTGTTGCTGGGAGGAGACGTTACGTTGGCGATCTGCATGACTCTGATATCCACTGTGGTCGCCACGGCGGCAATGCCGCTCTCCTCGGCACTCTACGGGCACCTCCTGGGTGTCCACGCCACCCTGCACGTGCCCTTCTTGAAGATCCTGGGCACCCTGCTATTCATTGCCATCCCCATCTCGCTGGGCATGCTGGTGAAGCTGCGGCTGCCCGCTCTCACCCGGGTCCTCCTTGCCCTCATACGGCCCTTCAGCTTCGTGCTCATCGTGGGCGGCATCTTCATGGCGTATCAGATGGGCGCCTCCATCCTGGCCGACGTGCGCCCCCACATCGTCCTGGTGGGCGTGACGGTGCCCGTTTTGGGGCTGCTGGTGGGGCTGGCGCTGGCGTGGCTGGCCGGGCTGCCCGCGCCACAGAGGAAGACGGTGGGCATCGAGGTGGGTGTCCAGAACAGTCTGCTGGCACTGGCCGTCATGCAGCTCTCGTTCCGGCGGGCGGAGGCCGACTTCGCCTCCCAGGCGCCCTTTATCGTCGCCCTCAGCAGCACCTCTGAGATGCTGCTGCTGGTCCTCGCCCACTTCGCCCACCGCCGCCTCTGCCACACGCCCGCCGCCCACTCTGAAACCTGACCCGGGCACCGGCCGCCACCCAGCGACCCTCGTCAGCTTCAGGGTGGGCATCGTGGACAGTGAACAAAGTGTGTGTGTTTATTTTTGTCTCTAAAACCAAAGGCTGTTTTTTAAGTTCCCCTGTTTTCTAAATCAAATTTTAAGCGAAATGAACTTTGTGTGTCGATGATGAAGCGATATTTTTCTAACAGATTTGTGTGGGTTTTGTAATTTGAGATGCTTTTTCTTTGTATCCTGTTTACAAAAGCGCCATGTCTCTTCGGGGACGGTCGTGCTCTGAGCTCTAATGTGCTGTTGATTGTTTTGGTGGATTCTGAACGAGGTCTTCTGAGAATCCACGTACTTGAATCGTTTTGCGTAAAAGTGTGAATAAATGCATTTTTGAAAAGGAAAAGGTGTCGGTTTTGGCTGTTTGGTGAAACAGCAGTGGAGAAACAGGCCAGGCAGCTTTAACTGATTATATCTGCCTTTATTTGAATGTATTGTTTGACTCTTTTGTATATTTTGAATTTGCATTGAGGTTCTAGCTCATCTCTGTTTGTTCTCACAGTCTCTCACAGTTTCTACACTCACCATTTTAAGCTGCTTGGTTTGTGATCTGAGCACATTTACAGTAAAACCCACCCACTTCCTGCACTCTTAAAAATAGAGATTACTAAATGGTTCCTGGTTTGGTCAGAGGGTTCTAGGAAGAGCCTTTAACTGCTATAGATCTTTTACATATGTGGAAGTGCTTTAAATGTTGAAAAGGTTCTTCACACTCGCATCTCATTTACAGACCTTTGGAGAAGAAGATCATTCAGAAGCAGAAACACTTCATTACTCTGTTATTGTAAACGAACTGAAAGTGAAGGTCCTTTGGGTTATTACAGTTGTGATGTCATGTGATCTGGAGAGCTTTTATCACTTCTTTAATAGCAACTGTCACCAAAATAACTAGTGCCTTTTACAGTTACTACATAATCACTGTTTAAGTTTATTAAGCTTAATAAAACTTTCACAATTCTATGTTCATATGTGAAATATTTAGAGGGTGAGTGACGTTTGATATTTGATATTTGTTGTGACTTTTGTTTGTTTGATGTTTGTTAATGACGCCTTTAGAGGGCGGCGCTGAGCGACGTTTGTTTAGTTGATGGTTGTTGACATCTTTAGAGGGCGGCGCTGAGCGACGTTTGTTTAGTTGATGGTTGTTGATGACGCCTTTAGAGGGCGGCGCTGAGCGATGTTTGTTTAGTTGATGGTTGTTGATGACGCCTTTAGAGGGCGGCACTGAGCCTCGTTTGTTTAGTTGATGGTTGTTGACATCTTTAGAGGGCGGCGCTGAGCGACGTTTGTTTAGTTGATGGTTGTTGATGACGCCTTTAGCGGGCAGCACTGAGCCTCGTTTGTTTAGTTGATGGTTGTTGACGTCTTTAGAGGGCGGCGCTGAGCGACGTTTGTTTAGTTGATGGTTGTTGACATCTTTAGAGGGCGGCGCTGAGCGACGTTTGTTTAGTTGATGGTTGTTGACATCTTTAGAGGGCGGCGCTGAGCGACGTTTGTTTAGTTGATGGTTGTTGACATCTTTAGAGGGCGGCGCTGAGCGACGTTTGTTTAGTTGATGGTTGTTGACATCTTTAGAGGGCGGCGCTGAGCGACGTTTGTTTGATGTTTTTTGATTTTGTTGTCAATCATCAACTAATGTTTCGAGATCGTAACAGACCTAAAAGTATTTATATCTATAAAAGCTCAACATACTTTCACTTTTAATATTTGAGTATTTTCACAATCTCATATTTTACAGACAGAGAACTTTTATAATAATACTTATACTTTATTATAAACTTATATAATAACACTGTTATTACAGCAGTAATGATTTAATGATTTACTAAGAGCGTTTCTGCTCGTACAGAAGCTCAGGCACAGTTTGTTTCGGCGCTGAGCCGAGTTGAAGTCCGCGGTGCGGCCTGGTGCTGTGTGTCCTCTGTGTGAGGAGATAAGAGGCTGAAAGTGTGTTGAGGGGCGAGTCGAGGCAGGAAGGCTGAGTTCAGTGCGTTTAGTGCAGGAAGTGTAATTCAGGCCTAATAAGTGCGACTGAGCGGAACTCGTGAAGTCATGTGTTTGTGATTACAGCCTGTGAGTTTACAGCTTTGAGGAGCAGCGCTTTCAGGCCTTCCTATTGGCTCAGGGGTGGCGGGCGGAGCCGCTCGTTTATCTGGCCTGATTCTGTGCTCTGCTATTTACTTTTTAAGAGTGTTTTAGTCACCAAACACTAAACGTGCTCAGGTAGAGGGGTTAAAGTGAGAGTTCACTGAAGGTTCCAGATGAGGCCGATCAGCCGAGGCTTCTTTAGTTTTAGCTCTGGAGCTGCGAGGCTAATGTGGCTAACAAGTAATGGAAGCTTATACCCCACCAGTTAGCATGGTGCTAACTGCATATCCCAGTCATCACACACTCGCCTCGACCGAGTTGGCTTGTTATTCGCCTGCTTCTTATTGGAACTTTCGGCTCCACCTTAAATGGTACCCATTTAAAGTGGAATGGAGAGTTCTGATAAGAAGCTTCTCAGAACTTAAATTTTGTATATATTTAGTTCTCATTTATGGATAACAGTATGTTACAGTGTCAGAAAGTCTAGAATGCTAATTGGTGGTTATTAGCTTCCATTACCTGTTAGCTACATTAGCCTCGTAGCTCCAGTGCTAAAACTAAAGAAGCAAACTTCAGAAAACAAACAGGCCTCGACTGACTACATTAGAGGTAGTGGGAGGGGGTCGGGGGGTTGGGGGAAGGGGGGGCAGTGGACATTGCTTTTGTTTTTCTCTGAACTGTCGCTTTAAGAGCAGAGGGGCAGGGCGGGATGAGGAGCAGTAAATGCTGCATTTACATTTCTAAATCTGAAACATAATAAACATGCAAATGCGCTGCTCTGACCTTTAGAGCAGGCCGCACTAAGTCATCCACTGCTGTGTAATTAAAAGGGGAATTCCACCAGTGTTCCAGAATTTTAGCACTGACTTAGCACTATCCAGAACCACCAGTGAACCTACACGAGTCTTCTGAGTTTATATGGAATGTTGATGATGGAAAATAGTGGAAAATCTGAAATAATAAGTTTTCTTTGGGGACTATTTTGCCTCACAGCGCCCTGCATGTATCCCTCCACCATGAATGGAGTTTAAGTTCTCTAAACGATCATAAAACAGTGTCTCAGTCATCAGGCAGTGAATTCATAACCATTTACTGTAGGAACTTTCTGTGAGGGAGCTTTTAGAGGTGGACGTCTGGTTCCTATCACCACCACTGTGAACAGTTCTGACTCGGTAAGTTTATCTAGAACAGAGCGTTTCACACCAAACCACTCTGAACGGCTCTGTTTACATCTTAACCACTAAATTATGCAGACATTTTGGAAAGTCCGTGGACTCCCACTTTAATCTGGAGCGTCTGGTTTGCTGAGTGAGTGATCATGTTCACTTTAAAGATCTGCCGGCTGTGTTTAGTTTCGTTGTCACTCACACTTAAATTTCACAATGCTGTGCTGCTCAAAGAGCACAGAGTGACCCCTCACCCGCTTTCACAATCACAGCTCAGCACTTCATCACTCTTTATATGCTCGTTAGTCACTACTAGGGACTTTAATGTGCCAAAAACAGCCATCATTCATTTCCACATGATCAGTGTACAGCCTTTCTTTATCTCTTACAGTTAAAGACGCTGTTTCTGTTACAGTGCCTTTAATACCAATATATGTAAATGAGATCTATTCTGATAAACTAAACTGCTGTAGATGAATGGTGGAGCTAAACTGCTGTAGCTGAATGGCTTTAAATACATTTGAAAAATACATTTTAGATCAAAATCTTTTCAAAACTATTGTTCAAAAATTTCTAAAAATGGGTTGAATTCCCCTTTAAAGTAGGGGAATCATTTTTAAACAGGCTGTCTGGATACTTTTGGACATACAGTGTTCTTGTTAAATCGGTGGGGCCTAAAAGTTCAGTCTAACGGGTAAACGAAAACGTGACTGAATGCTTGTATCTCTGCTAAATTCCTGACCAGTCGCTGACCGCCTACCTGTATAATTTGGTCTGCTTAACCGTTTCACTGTGAAACAGTGCTGAACCAAAGGACACAACCACAAAAAATTAATTTAGTAGACTTTAGTAAACAAACTCAGAGTGGAAGCAGCTTCAGAGGCACCGAAGAGGATCGGACAGCAGATCTGGGGCTGAATCCTGCCACATCACGTCTCTGTGGGTGTTTTCGGGAAGTAAGCGCTGGGCCTGTGTTTGACTCGTGCTCTGTTCCCCACCAGAACACGGCGTCGCTTCCTGTAAACAGCAAACATGGTTCTTGGAAATCAGGCCAATCTGCTCCTGCTGACTCATTCTGCTGTGACAATCACTCAGATAGTTCATTATTCACAGGTTAAAGAGCTGCTCACCACCAATTAGCATGGCGCTAACTGCATCGCTAAATCATCACATGCTCGCCTCAAACGTGCTGGTGAAGTCGGCTTCCTATTCGCCAGCTTCTCAGTGGAATTTTCCGTTCCACCTTAAATGGTGCATCATTATTCCACATTTAAGGTGGGACAGAAAATTCCAATAATTCGAATAAGAAACTGGCTGTTTTTACACCAAATAATCGCTTTAACTGTCAGATTTGCGTAGCACAGCTCATCCAGCTACACCAAACAGCCGTAGCTGTGCTAGCTATGCTAACTCGACTGTTTGTAATGTAAGTTAATGCAGTGATTAATAACAGTGATATCAGTGTTATCACAGTAGAGTCATCACTGACAGTGCTGTGATCGATCACGCTGGGGTCGCCGTGCTGAGTGTTGATCTGTGGGTGAAAGTTCAGCTGCTTTCATATAAAACAAGTATATAAAACCACGTCAGATCAATATTACAGCTCTATAGTCGTCAATATACCAGATTATGTTCATACACAGCTTCTGAGGTCTGATCTCCACAGAGGAGGAAAACACTGTTGAGTCCAAATGTAGTTCATCTGCCAATACATGCTTTTTTAGCTTTAGCACTGGAGCTACGAGGCTAACAAGTAATGGAGGCTTATAGCCCACCAATTAGCCTGGCTCTAACTGCACGTCTAAATGGTCACACATTCACATCAAACGTGTTAATAAAGTTAAGCCAGTTTCTTTTTAAAATTGTTGTAATTTTCCGTTCCACCTTAAGTGTTGCAGCAGTTACATTCTGGTGCCTGCGCTAATTAAGGTGGAACGGAAGATCCCAACATGAAGCAGGAGAACAGGAAACCCTTCACTAACACATCTGAGGCAGGCCTGTGATGATTTAGCGCCACGCTAAGTGGTGGTATAAGCTTCCATTACTCGTTAGCTACATTAGCCTCAACCAGACCCCAAACAGGCCTCAGCTGGTGGACTACATTTGGGGTAAGAGGGATTAATGCTGTGATTAATCTCATTAATATTCATGATGCACTCTGTCCTACTCATCCAATCACATGGCCTTCTATTTAGATCTGACTGGCTGTATTTAGATAAGCAACGGCTGTGATGTCACACCCAGCACTGCATACTTAAAGGGAATTAAACAGGAGAAGAAACGGATTACTTACATAAAATTTAGGTTAATTATTAAAATGAATGAATGTAAATGACGTCTTCTAGTGTTCTGTTGCACTCTGAGCACTCTGGCTGTGCTAAGCTGACCCCCGGTTTTGTGTTGTTGAGTATGTTTGTGAAGCTCTACAGTAGCCAGACTCACCTGTACGACTGCATACCTGCAGCACTAAACACCTTTAACATGGATACCAGCTGAGCGTGTGTTCAGAGTGACTGCACTGACCTGCAGCTGCGTCTGTTTTGGAAGGTTTGAATCAATTATAGAATTGATTATGATAATATTCAATATGCACTATTAATAAACTATAAATTTCAAACAGAAAAAATAAACAGTTCCTCCAATTACATTTGTGCATTCAGTGTGTTGTGATGCTGAATCAAACTAAAGGAATCAAAAACGTAAGTG